ATAGTAATAAAAGAGTATATGCGAGTCTTGAGGTTTCATGCAGAAACTAGAATTTTCATTTTAATCTGATTTACGACAGTGGTTAATCTAGAAAATATGTGCTTCACTCTTCAGTAAGGATTTATTATCCTATAGACACTTATTCCATTAAGAATCGTAGCTATAGTAATATCAATTTTTCACAATAAAAACATATTTTTTTTAGTGCACAAGAGTTAGTTTTAAAATTTGAGATATGGCCATTTTTTGAATTATTTGATGTAATTTTTTTTTCATGTACTATCCAACTGATCAATTAAACTTGATTTCTGGTGAACTAGATTAAAGTAAACAATACAAGAATAGAAATTCTTCAAAAAGCTCCTAAACAGCTCTATCTAGTCGATACTTTTGGAAAAAATGTTTAATTAATATTTGGAAAAACTGAATCAGATTTTAATATAAGGAAAACCACAATATTACTAAATCGATAATACATCTTATGTATAGTGCAAATTTATTAATTTATCTCTATTTTAGAATTAAATTTGAATAACGATCGATAATATAAAAAATTTTTACGAGTTTTTGTCTGTTTCCGGTACTGAACGAGAACTGCTCCTAATACCTAATCACGATACTGAATAAATTGTACCATCATTTTAGAGTCAGCATGTTTAAAAAATCTGGATCTAATTCCAAAGAATTTTATTACTAAAACCTCTGTCATTGAAGAACTTTTGTTGATCCTTCGTAGACTTGAAAATCCGAAGTATCCACATGATAAAAATTCTGACATATACAGTATTAGTGTGCTTAGTGTGCTGATGTGGGAGATGGACAGCCTCCATTTGGTCAAAGTTGTAATAACAATACTATTGGTATTCTAATTGCAATTACTAAAGGTTCGCATGAAAAACCAATCGCAAAAACACCTAAACGATATATTGATCTTTATTCTTTGAACCAAATAAAATTCTTCAATGACAGAAATGTTTCAGCAATTAAATTCTTTGAAGTTGGATCCCAGATTTTTAAGCATGCTAACTCTAAAATGATGGTACAATTTACTCAGTATTGGGATTAGGTATCAAGAGCAGATCACGCTCAGTACCGGCAACAGGCAAAAACCCGTAAAAATCTTTTGCATTATCGATTGTTATTCAAATATTAAAATTTTAATTATAAAATATCTCATTTAAAAATTTTTGAGCCTTTCATCCGTTTCTATTTCCTTAATGTCCACGTAACCTAAAGAGCGAAATAAAGCTCGGGCATACTACTCCAAAGCCCCCACATCCTAATTTTTTCTTGTCTATCAAACTATCGTAAGGTATTTCATTTAAATTGTAATCTTTAAGCCAGTTCTTGTGAGTTAAATATTTTAACACATAAGCGAAAGGACAAAATGAAAAAATAATATTTAATAGTGAATTCCATCGACGATAAATACGCTCATAATTTTATGAATAAACTATATATACTCCCTGGCAATTTAACATAAAGTGAAAAAACAAAAATAATACTTAACTAAGAATTGTATTAATGATAAAAATGTGTACATAATTTTATGAATAAACTATATATTTACTCTGGGGATTTAACCTGTGTAAGTAAATTACAAAGAAGTAATATTTAATTAGAAAATTCTATTAACGATGAAATATAAATAAGTTAATACTTATATACTGGCAATTTAATATGCGGTAAAGGAATGGAGAATTAATATTTAATAGAGTTCTGTCAATGATAAACCGTGTATTTTATAAATTAACCATATACTTACTACCTTTAATTTAACACGTAAATGAAAAACAGAAAAGTAATATTTAATAGAGAATTCTATTGACGATAAAATGTATTTTATGAATAAATTATATATTTACTTTCTGGTAATTTAAGTTGAAAGAAAGAGAATATTTAACAGGGAAATTCTTTGGATGGTAAAGTGTGTGCATTATTTTATGAATAAACTATAGATTTACTTTCTGGAACTTAGTGCATAAGTGAATAAACCATATACAGTCAACGCTTTCTAGAATGCATTATATGGGAATGGTCTAGGTAGAAATGCAGATATTTTTCTGGCATTGCTATCTCAATTATGTTATAGCTGTATTACTAATATTGCAACCTGTTCTGGCTAGGGATGGGGAAGTTTGGTTTAATTTAAACCTAATTTATGTGGTTAAAACTAAACCAAACCAAACCAAACCAAACTAAA